TATTTACATTTCAGGCTCATAGGAGAAAAGATTGGAAATGTTGGGAGAGGAATAAATATTGCCATTGTCAATTGTAAGTTATTAAATATTTTCTTTAAAACTTTTCTAAAGACTCTGATGGGATTTTTCCCAGATACCTTGGGTTTTCGATGGTTTTTGCACTCGGTCTAGTCTAGGTTTATATTTTGATGTGTTTTTAAAATTATATATTTCACTATTTTTCCAACGCCTCAGTTTACAGATTATTTGTAGTTCCAAAGAAAACACAATGAAACCAAATATAGATTTTTAAGACAAAACAAGGACTGGCAGAGGCGGGTGAGACCAGAGGAGCAGACCTGGGCCCCACTTTGGCTCTCAGATTCCTGGTGGCCCAGCAGAAGGCGACACATCTGCCAGGTCCTGCCTCCGTGTGATAGAAGGGACGAGGGCCTCCAGGGAAGCCAAGCTCGGCCTCTCCTTAGGCCTGGGAAAGATGACCGCCACTGGGGGCCCTGACGATCGCAGGTTTGGGGTGTCTCTGAGAGCAAGCTGAGCACGTGGTCCAGTGACAGGGGGGCTGCAGGGACCCAAGGCAGAAGGTGCCCAGCGTGGTGATCTGAGGGGAGCCTGCAGCACACAGCAGAGAGCCCTGGGGCGGGAACTCTGGGGTCCCTGTGGGAAGAGGAAGGTGCAACAGGAAAGCATAGGATGGAACCTGGTGTGAAGCAGCCGGAAGGCAGCCAGGGCAGCAGAGGAGCGTCTCTCTGACCCCCCACATCAGCAGCACCAGGGCAGGCAGAGCATCCTAGGCTCCCAGGAAAGAGACGGGGAAAGAACAGGCTGTTAGGTTAGGTGGCTCAGGAGGCGGCGCAAGAAATAGAGACTCCAGTGAATCAGAAAAGAAAGGAAAGGAAAAGGTTTATTCTGCGTCCCCGGGAGACCCACGTACCCCAAGGAGAGGGCACGTGGATTCACGCCAACAGGGAGGGGGGTGCTTTTTTTATACTGCGGTTGGGTGAGGGGCGGGGACATGAGCTGAGGTATTCAGCTGAGGAAGTTTCAGCTGCAGGGGGTCAGCAAGGGATTCAGGAAGGAGGCGGATTCAGGCTAACAGGGAGGGGGGCGCTTTTTTAATATTGCAGTTGGGTGAGGGGCGGGGACATGAGCTGAGGAATTCTCTGCTGCAGGGGATGGGCCGGGGTATGTGGATTAAGGGAGAAGAAGCCAGTATCTGTGTCTGGCACCTTGATCTGTGAGAAATTCCAGGGGAAGTCCATTTTATCTTTTCATGTCTGCATGTATCAGATCTTGGGCTCTCTCTGACCTAACATCCCGGGGCCTTTTGGTGATAAGCTGACCACGGGCGGCGAAGGGGGGGAGGTTAAAGGCCAGGGTTAGGCAGAGGCAGATCGGAGGGGAGCCGAGTGTAGGGATGGAGCAGGAGCTGATTCACAGTCACTCATGACATCTCCGTGATCCAGAAGCGGATGAACTTGAGGAGGCAGGGGGCTAGGAGAAAAAAGACACAGATGAGAATCAGGGGCCCTATCATGGGTAGGACCCAGGTAGCTAAGGGGCTTTGGAACCAGCCGGAAGGAGAGTTGTCCTGGAAGTGTCCTGCATGTAGTTCTTCACTCAGCTTAGTCAGGGTCTGTACGTTTACGTTTTGCTCCACTACAGCGGACTCGTTGATGTAGTAGCAGCATTCTTCCTGAAGGAATATGCAGGTTCCTCCTCTTTCTGCAGTCAGAAGGTCTAAGGCTACTTGGGCTATTGATGTTATTGATGTTATCTGCCGCTGTAGGGAAGCTAAAGAAGCAGTAGTGGACTCCAGGGCTAACTGGAGCTTGTCATTAAAGTACTGAGCAGAGAGCAGAAAGTTCCCCAGGGACCCCA